GCGACGTCCAATATAAAAGCATCCGTTAGATGATTGGAATTGGTTCTAGAGAGAAAAAATTACGCTTTGATAACGACTGAATAGAAATTCATCTAGCCTCCCAGAATGACTGTTTGGAACATGTGCCTGACTTTGGCAGTTTCCAATATTTGGCGACTCCCCATGCGAGAAACAGTACTTTTCAACAACCTCCAGGCAGTTGTATACTACCATTGCGGCTCTGCTTTGATAGGAATCACCACATCAAGATGTCTTGGTTGATCCCAAAAGGAAGCGGCGTGCGGTGGTTCGGTTCTCCATGACCAGACGGCCTGATCTTGATGAATCAGAAACCCCATATCCATCCCGTTTATATCCTTCACTTCCACGACAAGTTTAGCCCTCCATTTAGGGTTGGGAGAATCGTCTTGGAATCTAATCTGTCCCTCCCAATTCCCCCAAGGATTCTTGTTGCGCTCTTTTCCCATCCTGAAAATTCACTCCAATGAGTGACCAAGATGCGATATTGGAGGCGGAAGAAGTCAAAGATGCTGTAAATGAATTGGAGAAATCAACTATCGAAGAGAACGGTTCGTTGAACAAATCCTTGCCGCCACTGCGTGAATTCATCAATGGTGTCTACCCGCGGTAAGAAATATTCCCTGCTTGGGGGTGTCGGTCCGCGTTCAAAAGTTGTGTGGTACATTAATCTCATCCATTCGGTGCGAGCTATGAGCTCGAATGGACGGGTGGGACCTCCATGCCCTTCTTCCTGGACGTGTTGGGAAAGAACATCGGTCGAGTTGGCTGCGTCCATGTTGTTGAGATGTATAGCAGCGTCCATCTTAGTAAGGTGAGATGTGTTGAAGAGTCTCTTTGCCGGATACAGTGCTGCCGCAGGTATAGAGTAAGATGTGTCAGGAGAGGCCTACTGATATCGGTTAGTATCTTTGTCGTTCTCAGCAATTTGGAGCAGGTCTTATCTGGGATGGAGAAGGTGATGTGGTGACATATCAAAAGTCGGGCTGTGTCGCTCTTCTTTGTACCCGAGAGACATCTCCGTATGCAACAGCCTAGATTGGGCGCGCACTTTTCCGTGACTTCTATACCTTTTCTTCGTGGCTTGAAGCATCTGCTGAAGCTGTGAACTTAATAACACATCGCATCGTACCAGCAAGTAGACCCCAGGGTGAAGTACACACAAGGTGCGAAGTTAGGAAAGTGTGGCTTGAGATTCGTCAAGCCACATCAGCAAGTGGCAGTATCTAAGACAGTGCGAGGATTCCAACGTGTTTCTTCTCAACACAGTGCATACCGCGACAGCTCCGCGGGCGCACTTACAGAGCACTGCGTCGGACTTCTTCTACAACTTCACGAATGCCGTCAACTGCGATGCACGATCGCGCACCTCCCGATCTCGGAAGATTCCCACTCAAACCGACTATGCGATAAGAAGTTCCACAGCTATACCGGTAGCGATGTCATCGGCGAAAGACCTTGTCGAATTTCCCGACGTGGAGGCGAAGCTCCAGAAACCATCCAAGCAATCCGCGTTCGAGAAACAGAGAGCCGAAGCCGAAGCTAAAAAGGCCCGCGAGGCTGCCGAGACCGCCGCAGTTTACCAGGACTTTGTCAAGAGTTTTGATCACGATGATGACGACGACCCGAGAACCGGCCGGTTTGGCTCAATGCCTTCACAAAGACCCCAGCCCAAGGTCCCTGGGTTTGGCGGCGCTCCGTTGGGCGCACCTGCACCATCTAGGCGACACTTTGGCGCATCCAATCCCAAGAGCGGCCCAGGTAGTCTAGGTCCTACTCCGAGCTTCAAGAGCGGTCCGGGAAGCTTGGGACCTCCGCCTGGCTCGCTTGGAAGGAAGAGGGGTTTCGACGCATACCGACAGGAGAGGGACAGAGATGGCCGGCTCGGGTTCGAGGAAAGGGAGGAACCGAGTTCGGTCGTCAAGGTTTTCCACAACAGTGACGACGAGGACGAAGCCAAATCAGACTCGAGAGCCGAGGAAGTCGCAGTGGCTAGGCCCACGTTGCGTCTTTCTCAGTTGCCGCCTGGAACATCGCCTGCCTTCATCAAATCACTGATTCCGACAAGTCTTAATGTCGAACACGTTAAGATTCTACCACCTATGGGACCTCCGGGCACGGAGAAGAAATGCGCCGTGGCCATTGTCACACTATCGCCAGACACGCCGGCAACAGAACTGGATGCAGTCGTGAGCTCGCTGCAAAATCGCTACCTGGGTTACGGCTGTTACTTGTCATTGCACCGGCACCTATCCTCAACAGTAGCAACCGCGACAACATCGACACTGGGTGGCACATCTGCCGGATCGCAGCCTTTTGGTGCCAAGCCTGTGTCGCAGCCGACGGCACCCGGTAACGCGACAACACAGCATGCCTTCCATCGCGGCTTTGCGCCGCCAACCTCGTATGGCCCAAATATAGGTGGATCAATTAACCGGAGCAGTATCCTTCACGTGGCTGTCAAGCCTCCAAACGATGTAAAGATGGTACACCTCATCAACAGGACCATCGAGTCGGTTCTCGAGCATGGCGTGGAATTTGAGGCGTTGCTCATGAGCCGCCCCGAGGTTCAACGGGAGGAGAAATGGGCTTGGATTTGGGACGCTCGCAGCGAAGGAGGTATCTGGTACCGATGGCGGTTATGGGAGATCGTCACGGGAGCGTCTGCTCGGAGCAATAAGGGACGGTATCTACCACTTTTCGACGGCAGCCATGCCTGGAAAGCTCCAGAGAAAGGTCTACCGTTCGAGTTCGTCACAGAACTTGACGAGTTCGTATCCGACTCGGAGTATAACTCCTCAGATGACGAGGACTTTGACGGGGAGAATCGCGAGAACCAGGCTCAGGGGCCTGAAGCAGAGGCTACCTTCCTGAATCCCCTCGACAAAGCAAAGCTTACCCATCTCTTATCTCGTTTGCCCACAACTTTATCCAAGATTCGAAAAGGAGATGTCGCCCGAGTTACAGCGTTCGCGCTGACGCACGCAAGCCGGGGTGCCAAAGAGGTCGTCGACATGATTGTCTCGAACGTCGAGAAGCCCTTTGCACTAACGACGGCCAACCCAGAGTTTCAGTCGAATGGCAAAGAGAAGGGAAGACAAAGGGACGACTCAGAGCCGCCTGAAGCTGAGCCGGAAGAGAAAGCCGAGAAGGAGGGCCCTGACACCAGCGGCGCAAGCCTTGTGGGCCTATATGTTGTCAGCGACGTGCTATCCGCCTCCTCTAGTAGCGGTATTCAGCGCGCTTGGCGGTATCGACAGATCTTCGAAGGAGCACTCAAAGAGCGCAATATTTTTGAGGGTCTGGGGCTGATGGCTGAGAAGCTAAACTGGGGCCGATTACGGGCTGAGAAGTGGAAACGAAGCGTTGGTCTAGTCCTGAGCCTCTGGGAAGGTTGGTGTGTCTTTCCGACGGAGAGTCAGGAGTTATTTGCCAAAACTTTCGAAAACCCGCCATCTTCAAAGTCACAAGAGCAAATTGAAGATGACGCAGCCAAGAAGGGTAGATGGAAGGTGGTTGAGAAGACCTCGCTGCCGGCCGCTGATGTTGCCACAACGAGCACCCTTTCTCAGAGAGCGCCAGAGCCAACAGCTGACAAGGAGGAGGAGGAGGATGTCGAAGGCGAGCCAATGGACGAGGAAGATGTTGCCGGAGAACCCATGGAAGAAGACGATGTCATGGGCGAACCAATGAGCGAGGAGGATGTGGAGGGTGAGCCCATGGTGGATGATGATGTCGAGGGGGAGCCGATGGAAGAGGACGCAACCGAAACGGCAAAGGATCAGTCACCGTCAGGCAAGGCCAGCAGCAAGGTAGAAGGAACGGCAGAGGCCGCGAAGACTGACGACGCCCCCACTGTCGGACGTTTGCAATTATCAACCCAGCCGAAGGGACAGCCTCGGAAAAGGATGAGAGCAGTGGACATGTTTGCTAACTCTGGGGATTCGGATGAGGGAAACTAAGCGCGCGTGGCGGACGCAGGCGCTGGTTCTGGAAGTAGGCCAAGACGACACCAGGGGCGAGACGGCGGGCTTGGACGATTGATAAAAAGTGCTCACCCTATGAAGATCCAGGGTTTATCTGAAGAATAGTATTGCAAACGCATGTGTCTTGACTGGGCCGTGAGCGGGACGGGGTATATGTGGAAGGGGAATATGGCAGCCGTCCTGCAGAAGGACGACGGGGCGGCCGTCCAAGTTTGGGCTGCCCGATGCCGCTTAGAGAGAGCGTGGCATGGCAATGCATAAAGGGCGATGGGCAGACAAGTCCATACGGATGGATATATGAAAGGGACGAGATATGACGGCACAATAAGTGAAGCGTCGGGTTGGCGGGTTGGCGGGTTCATCATGGCGTGGAGGTGACGGCAGTAATTGACACTGCAAGACATATCTATGAGAGCCGGCCATGTATTACAGGTCTCTCTTTCTCGCTTTTAGCACAATATATCCAGCCCTGCGCCAAAAGTTGCGGCGGAGAAGGACGAGAGAAGCCGTCTTGATGCCAACAACACAGGCGAACCTCCAATGCCGGCGAAATGCGGTTACATCACAAAATGTCCCACCACGGGGTACCTTTTTTCGGAGCGCTACTCCTGCACAGCCATGGATACGCATTCTTCGTATGAAGTGGTCTCTTGTTGGTAGGCTCAAAGTCGATAGAGAGAGGAGAGGGAGGGGTGGTGCCAGGTCGTTCGCAACAACCGGCCGTCTCGTTGTGAATTTTTGGTGGTGCTGCCCGGATCCGGCCAATCAAAACTTGCTCACTTCCCTTGCCTCTCGAGCCTCTGACGGTGGAGTATGTAGTCGGTGTTTTTTTTTTTTTTTTCTTAACTTGCTCGCTCCCACCCTCCTTACGGTGACTGCGGTGTTCCTCACCTTTCTCCCACGCTCGAATTTCCTGATGTAGAGAGCCTGGCCGTGGGAGTACGCATTCTTTTATGGGTTGATTTGTAGGTCCCTCGGAATGCTTGGGCTCTGGGAAATCTGTGGCGCGATATCCGTGCGGGTTTGTCGTTGGTGTGTAGACGACTAACACGGGGAGGATAACGGGCCAACTCAGGCTGGTGAGGCTGGGCCGACCGCGGACTCGGCACCGACTCGCGGGAGTGAGGGGAGCAGGCCCGTCAGACGGTCAGCGGTAATATTTGAGTAAGTGGGATGGAAAGTGCGTGTGTGGTCGCACAGGATCTCGAAGTCTGGACCCTTGACTTTGATCTTACAGATCCTCTGATGATGGAGCGAACATGTCAAGATGCAAGAATGGCATGAAGAAGAAATATGACCCAGAGGGCCTGCTTTCAGGCTTCTCATATACTGTGCAAAGAAACTGGATACGGAGAGTAAGGAAACGGGGAGTCGGTACTAAACGGCGATCCAGAGTTAGCTTCTTATCGAGGGCAGCGTATCCCGGCAGAGAAGAAAGAGCACGCGGCTTATTCGAATAGCCGGAGCTTTGTCTTGCTAGTCCGCCACATCTCTCTCACGTCTTTCTTTCTGATCCCTTTTCCGATGCGATGCGACATGTCTTGTGCTGGTAGGTGTTATATGTACCTTAGCATCGTACTGTGAGGGAGATAGACGCTCGGGACGCTTCTGCGGCGAACGCCATGTCGACGTGGGAAGCGCGCCGCCTCCAGGCCGTAGATTACGGGCTTGAGGTAAAGTCCCAACCGCGCCCGGCTTACCATTCTAAGTAGACGCAGCAAAGGCGAGTGGTGCTGCTGGGTTGGCCCTGCTATTGTGTCGGGTTACGTGCCTTAGAGTTGGTTAGAAAGTTGCCGTCAAAAAAAGCTTGCCCCGAAGAGAAAGTGAGGGAGGCAGACAGAGAGACAGGACCATCCAGAGTCATCCCATGTCCAATTCTTATGAGGCATTGAGGTAGGCATTGAGGGACCATGGACATGACTGGGGCTCTGATTGTAAGACGAGGTTGAGGTGGCATAGCCGGAAAGGGCATCTGTGTATGGACTTGTCCCTTGGGCCTAGGTATACGGACAGACATGGCATGCTGTCTGTGATGAGAGCTGCAGACAGACCCCTCTTCCCGCCCGGGCTTACATCACGGATTCCGACGTAAGCATATCTCACTGGGCACTGAGAATTCGGTATCTGTATTCGTACCCTCAATGAATGATCTTTGTAATCCATGTGTCGAGTATCCGAGCAAGGCAGAAAGTGAACCAGGCGGCGGACAGCGAGCGAGGCATGTACCTTAGTAAACCCCCGCACGTGGGGCTGTTTCGATGCGCTACCGGGATACCGTCCCTCACCTGGCTCGCTCACCCCCCTCCCGCCCGCCGCGCCCCATCCATTGCCTAGCAAATGCCCACCACCGCTGTTGCTCGTGCTTTTCTCGGTCCATCGCTGCTGGGGCTTGGAACTGGAACTCACCTCACAGGCTCACACTGGGCTGGACTAGACGATGCCAAGGACCAAGGTAGGACATCGAGCATAGGGGCCGCTAGTGCTGGTCAGGGACCCAAGACTACCCGAGGGGAGGCAAGTGCCTAGGTTTGGGTTGGGAATTGTTTTCTTGCTGAATTCGGATCGGGGGAAGGAGTGAGGAGCAGAGAGGAAAGAAGGGACCTGCCTCGACTGCCTCAAATCAAGTTATAACCACGTTACGTACCTAAACTCGACTCAAGCAGGTGCTGCTGGTGTTGTTCCTTCCTCAGTCGCAGTGGGCTATCCATACAGGCCAAACCCCGTCTCCCCCGACGCCGACGTCCTGTCCACCTCAAACGGTCCACTGGGCCGTTTCCTGTTTCCATGGACCGTCGCTGTTTCTGCCCTCTCTGCTACTGCTAATCCGCCTTTGTGGCTTTGTCTTCCCTGACCACCACCACCACCTCATCCCTCCACCACGCACTACACACTACGGATACCTTACCTTACGTACCAGGGCAGCTAAGGTAAAGGTAGCAACGATTCCACTGCTTTGCCGACCCGGCGCTTCTCTCTGATCTCCGAGTCCTGTCTACTTCCATTTCATTCAATACCCAGAAACCCGCCCTTACGACCCCCCGGCCTTTGCGCGCAGCTTTAAACCTCTTCACGCTCGAAACGCCACTCGTTTCTCTTGCCAATCCCCAGCTCTTCCAATCCCGCATTCCTCACCTCGACATCGTTACCGGATTGCTTTGCGCTGGAAGCCTCGACGACCCATCTTACCGCCCACGCCCGCTCACCCATCACATGGCCTTTCTCGTCCGTTGAGCCGATTTCACCCATCGTTGCCGGATACATAGCTTGCTTGCTTGCGTCGTGAACAAGCTCACCAGAGAGACCGACCCGCAGCGACCGCGACCCAAGCGACGACCAGAACCGACACTCGACGACCGCCGCCGCCGCACCTTGAGAGCTGGCTCCCGCCTTCATGTTCCACGCCGCTGCTCACTCCCACCGTCCGAGGTCTATTGGGGCCGAAGCCTGAGCGAGCGACATTCATCGCAGCTTTTACTCTTGCAATTACCTTTCTTGAGAAAACTGTAGTCTCTACCGCAACTTGGGTAATCGCCAAAATTTACACCCGCCCTCACGGTACCACAGCAACCTTGAGAGCCACCCCCACCACAGCCCACCATGCCGCTCATCAACGGCCAGAAGATGGCTTGGTAAGTCGCAACGTCCTCTTTCTTGCGTCCCTGTCCTCCTTCATTTCACATTTTCCTCGCTGTGTCTATCTTCGCCGTTTCACGACTTGCGATGTCTCCGAGCACTGATGGAATTCCGCGTCCCACTTTCCGCTGGACCCTGAGCTGACCATTTCACCCTCCGCTGTCCAGCGAGCCATGCATCCGTGGTCATCGCTCCACCAAATGCACCCATGCGAATGAACGCTTGATGGTCCCCGTCCGAAAGCCCGGCAGACCATTGAGCACATGTCCTCACCCGCCCTCCCGCGGTTGCGGCTGTGGTAGTGTAACGGCCGCCATCCCGAGAAAGCAGAAATGCGGCTGCGGCTCCAGCAACGCCGGAACCCCCGCAGAATCCCCCAGTGTCATCAAGGCAGAATCGCCGGCGAGCGATGTCCCGCCAATGTCTCCGACCAAGGCATCCGCCGCCTCCTTTCGTATACAGAAGTCTGCCCCCAAGGCGGCCAGTCGCAAGCAGTCGTTCGACCCCGTGAACCTCGAGAGGATGGATGCCACCAATATCAACATATTGCCGCCATACGACATGGCCCAAGCGAATCACATGCCACACGCCAATGGTGGCGTACCGGGCATGCCCACACCGAGAAATGGGATGGAGTACGGCGGTATGACCATGATGGGCGGCGTTAACGGCGGTTTCCACCAACCCATCATGTATCCAATGTTCCCACAGCAGATGCCTGCGCCCATGTTCCCCCCGGGAGCCGCCATGTCGATGCCTCAGCCAAATACCGTACCATCAGCCGTCAACACCTCGCAGACTGCGACAACGCCTACTACGATGGCAGCAGCGTCGAATGGGGGATCTTGCTGCTCAGGAAAGACAAATGGGACGCCAAAGCCTGCCCCTCCGCCGTCGCTGAAGAGCACCAGCACGGGTGGCTCATGTTGCTCAGGGCCCAGCAAAGCCGAGGGGAACTCAACACAGCCTTCTAGTGTTAGCTCGAGCCCCAAGACGCAGCCAAAGCCTAAGACGGGCGGTTGTTGCTCTAGCAAGGCGCCTGCGATAGACACAAACGTACATCATATGCCCAACGGTCATATGTCGCCGTCGAGCGCCATAGCCATGTCGCCTTTCCAGACACCTACCGCAATGCCCCAGGGCATGTTCAACTCATACTTCCAACCCACGATTTTCACATACCCGCCACAATACGGATCTTGGATGTCACCGCTACAGCCTGCACAGTGGAAGCAGCAGATGGAGGCGCAGCAGTATGGTCAATCAATCCCGCAGCCGGCCGCGTACGGCATGCCGAACTCGCTGTTCACCTCAGATGGTACAACTCCGATGATGCCCGAATCAACATCACACATGTGTAGCTGTGGCGACGGCTGCCAGTGTGTGGGCTGCGCGGCTCACCCTTACAACGATGCGACGCAAGACTACGTGCGATCTGCATACACCAGTATGTTGGACGACTCTTATGGAATGACGAATGGTACGAATGGCACGAACGGCACGAATGGACACTTGGAGACGGCAACGACCAACGGGACTGGCGCCCGCGGAATGGACGTACACACCAATGGCGAAAACGGTGGTTCTCCTGCTGGGCCGCAAACACCTTCCGATGGAGCCTCAGTATTGAGTGAAGAGCAGGCACTGTCGGCGAACGACTTCTTCTTCGTGACTTATCCGTTCAATGGTGACGGGTGCGCTGGGGAGACGTCGTCATGTCCATGCGGCGACGATTGTCAGTGCCTCGGCTGCTCGATACACAATAATTCGCCCATACCCGACTCAGGATGAGGTGGGTTCGGGTGTGTCGAGCTGGGGTCCGCAAAAGATTAGGTTTTGCGGAATGTTTTACCCTCGACGATGGATACGAAGGAGTCTTTTGGAAGGTCGGCATTGTTCAGCCGTTTTCGACTTGCATACGCGGTGTTTGGAACGATACCCTCTACTGGCTGCATCATAGTACTGATAGAATACGTACTTGTTCATAGAACGTCTGACGATCCGGTGATTGACTTCGAAACAGAAACTATTCAACCTTTACCTTGGTTACCTTGCACAGTGAAGCCAAGAATGAGCTGGGAACCATAAATCTTGGGCCGAGACAGCTGTAATTGACAGTCGATAATGCCCGGGCTTAAGTGCCGTGAACCAAACATTAATTTCGGAGTTGTTGTAGGCAGGAGAGGGGAATTCGGCACGGTGTGTGCTGCCTTCCGGCGCCGAAGTTGGGGTACCCACTGCTCCGGTCCCCAGGGCAGCCACGCCGCGAGACCAGGGGAGTGAGTCTCCAACTTTTTTCTTACCGTCAGGACACACGGACGTTGACTTGTCGTACAACAACATCACCGCAAAGGACCAACCTTCCACCTACCTTACCTTACATTGATATCCAGCGCCATCGTATCCTCACCTCTCAAGGCTGGCGCTTGTGCATTACCTGCAGTCGCAAAAATCGCTTTCGTCACCCGACTCCGTTCGGCATCCTCCGAATATTGCCACCCCCTTCCTTTGGGTGCGCAGGCCAATTCGGCTGATCGGCTTCATAGTCGCGGCAGATTCTCGACGCCTGAAACTGTGGTCAAACAAAGAGACGGCCACGATTCAACGTCGATAAGAGATCCTTACCCCACACACCCATCACTTTCTCAAGTTCTTCTCTTGGAGAGGAGTTGTCATCCTTGCCAAAAGGTATCTGACGTGCGACCTTGCTTGTCACATTTTTTTTTTTGGGAACGAACCCCAAGAAAGTGAGAGGAAAAAAAAAGCTTGTTTCGCGAGGTTTTCTCGAGAAGGACGTGTCGCAAACAGGCAAGGAGGGGTCTTGTCACCTTGTATGTATCTAACGAGGGACCTTATCGTGGATCTTTCATCTTAATCTCATCCCAACTTGGCGCATCCTTGTTCGGAAGCGTAACTCACTCGTTTGAACGTCCACTCGTCCTCTGAACTATGGCCGGAGACGACGAGCGCTCGGGTGAGCGGAGGGGTGAGGAGCGGAGATACGGACGGGCCAGCTCTCGGTCGAGGTCGAGGTCGCGGTCGCCGAGACGGCACCGGGATGATGTGAGGCGGAGGTCGCCCGTTGGCGAGGTCGGTTCGCGTCGGGAACGGAGGGCGAGATCTCCCCGCGGAGACGACGGCAGGTGCCGCGACCGCGATGACCCGGAGGATCGAGATTCGAGACACAGACATCGGCGTCATCACCATCATCGTCGGCACCGGGATGGTCCGCGTGACGCTGCCGGCGGCAGCACTGCTTCGAAAGAAAAGAAGGCGGCTGCGGCGGTGTCGTTGCCATATGAGGCGCGCCAGCTGGGCAAGTCGGAGATGGAGGTGTTTCGGCCGCTGTTGGCGTATTACCTCGACCTGCAGAAGCAAAAGGACATTCGCGAGATGGACGAACGGGAAGTGAGGGGTCGGTGGAAGAGCTTCGTGGGGAAGTGGAACCGAGGGGAGCTGTCGCAGGGGTGGTATGATCCCGAGATGTTTGTCTCTGCCAAGGAGAGGGCTCTTGAGGTTGGGATTGAGGGGCTTCCTTCGCGGGGGTCTGATGGTAGGGGGCGAGAGGAGGTGGTGGAGAGGAGCGAGGAGAGGGATTATGGCAGGGAGAGGACTGATGATGAGGATGATGGGGATCGCAATGATGCGGATGCCGATGACGACGACGATGATGATCTCGGACCAAGGTTGCCCCCCACCTCGCGCGGCACCGGCCAGCGCTCCGGCCCCGGAATTCCCAACATGGCAGACCTGTCCCTGCAGCGCGAGACCCTCGCCGAGGAAGCGGCGCGCGACCGCTCGGCGCGGGCGTCGGACCTCCGACATGCGCGCAAGGAGGACAGGAAGCTTCAGCGGGAGAGGCTGGACGACGTGGCCCCCCGCGCGGAGGCGGGGACGCGGGAGAGGCAGCTCGAGAAGAGGGCGGCGGTCAACGAGAAGATGAAGGAGTTTCGGGAGAAGGGGTTAGGTGGCGGGGATGCTGTGGCGGAGGTGGGCGAGCAGGAGCTCATGGGGGGCGGGGATAGTTTTGCCGAGTTGAAGGCGATGAAGGCGCGGGAGGAGAGGAAGAAGACGGAGCGGGAGGTTAGGAGGGAGGAGATTGCGAGGGCGAGGGCTGCTGAGCGGGAGGAGAGGGTTAGGGAGTATCGGGAGCGGGAGGAGGGGGTTATGAAGGGGTTGAGGGAGCTGGCGAAGCAGAGGTTTGGGTGAGGTGATGGGAGAGATATGATGGTGTCAAGGGGCAAGATGTCATTATGCCCTGGGTGTTAGTTCTAGGTAGCTTGTCAAGATGGTATATAAATCCGTTCGTTCGTGGTATCAGGACGAACGCGCTTAATAATTCTTCGTCTTGACTTTTTTGGGAGATGGCTCAGCGGTCATAGCCGGGCTGAGCTTCAGGTGAGAGGCCACGATTCACTAGAGGGGATGGTAAGGTATGACGAGATGATGTTTCGACAACTAGGTTCGCTGGCTTGTCACGTCCGTCTTGCTCTTTTAGAGCGTTGTGTAATAAATACGTGCGAGTTACTAGGCTGAGAGAGGGAGAGAGAGAGAGAGATGATGATGTCGGTAAGCTAAGACTATATCTATTAGCTTATTATATTCATCCCACTTATCTGAATAGTACGTGACGAATACGTGCGGGTCGCTAGGTCGTGGACGGGAGTTGTTGTGATCTAGTGAATGCGAAGTTCTTAGGGGGATATGGGTTTAGTAATAGGAGTGTCTTAGTATGCCCGTGCTTGATTCCCGTGCTTGATTCCCGTGACATGATCATGAAAATTCTTGGGCTCGAACATCTTGGACAAATATGTGTGTCCTTTGAATTGATACACCTGGACGAATGTGGTGTTTTTTTTTTTTTTTGGAAGGCTGACTGGCTATTTTCATGGTCCGTCCAAGATAAAGAGTACGTATCCATGCTGGACTGCAAATAAATGAAAGGGGCGTGATTGATTGAGACATGGCCGGTGGACAATAGACTGCTAGAATTGCAAAGAGTATGCATTATAGGTAGACGTCTTGATAATAATGTTATGTACCCCCGCCTGTTCCTTTAACAAGAAGACCGTTTACATTTAAAACTTAGAAATCTTTGGTTAACACATAGCATGTAATCTGTTAAGAGTAGCTAGAATATTGTTGAACTGGTAGTTCTAGAAGGGTAGTGGCCTCGAAAGCCTTGGGTTCTAAGAGGGCCAGCAGAGATGCTTTATGGAAGAACTCACGGCCCATTTCCTACTATAATAATACTCACCAGCTCGCCGTACTAGCTCGTCACGCTCGTCTGCACGATGTGTGACGAATACGTCCGAGTCGCTGGATAATGGGCGTTGGCAGGGGTGTTCTTTGGCTCTGGTCTTTTTCAATGGTATCAGGGGGGTGAGAGGGAGTGAATCAGACAAACCGACAGTATACGTCAACTTCGACCCCAGCAGCATCACCAGTCTCACTGCCTCTCCTGCTCCTGCCCCTGCCCCGGCCCATTGCCTCTGCCTGAGAGTCGCTCAATGCCGCTGGCGTGAATCCTTTTATAAGACAGTTAGACGGGATCGTGTTAGAGGAAGCAGATTCTCGTCTGAACCCCTCGCTCCCAGACCGAATCTTCCTAAATCCGCGCATGTGATAAGATAGCGCTGTTCTAGGGACTTCAGGAAGAATAGTAGATAGTATTGTAGTAACGAGCAGTTAAATGTGCGGTTTTGAAGCGCAGTCTCCTCCTGTTTGATGAAGTGAGTGAGTGGCGGGAGTGGTGCGGCTTGACGTCGTAAGTTGCCTTTCTTTGAACCAGAAGCAAGCTTTGCTGGAACAAGACTTCTTCCAAAGCCGCTCACTTTCTGATTCAGGGGAACAAAAAGCTTCATCAGCGGCTTGTATCCTTTTGTGGCTGATAGGCTCCTTATGTACCGGGTAGGAGGGGGGCAAAGTCCATGAAGGATATCTCTCAGACAAATTGAAATCGATGGGAATATGATAGAGACATACAGAAATATGAAATCAAAGTTCGAAAGATTCGACTTTGGACTTACGAGAACCAATTGCCAACATCATGGAAGTAAGGGCCTACTGCTTGTACTCCCAATATGCTCTGCTGGGTGTCCTTTAACTCTGTAGTTCAGACAATCTACTCACTCTCGATGTACCTTAGATGAGGTGCCAGCGCCTGCCTCACACTGTGTTTGAGACTGCCAATACTACACCTCCTCATGGGAAATCGAGGACTGTCTCGCACTGTACCCACTTCTACTTCGTCGCAGGAAAAAAAAAAGAAGACGTCAAAAAAATTGCGACTCATTTGCGATTGACCCCTCCACACCCCGCATTCATCCAAGTATGTTGATCTCACCTTCACTTTTTCCCAGCCGTAACTGACGCTCCAGGCAGACTCAGCAAGTGAAGGCATTCTCACACAGAGAAGCTCATCACATCATTCCCGAAATCGCACAGCGAGACAACTTAGACAGCTCTCTCACTCGGATCTGCCCCTCTTCACTCAGGGTATCAAGAGTCAACCCCTCAGTCCCTGACCCAGGGATACACCAACACCTACTTCACCAGCAACACAACACACTCATCACAATGAGCCCAGTAAGCGACGTTGCCGACGGCGACACAGGCGACCTCTTCGCCGACCCAGAAGACTACTACCCGCCCACCCCGCCACCCACCTCGCAAACCCACACACTCGCCTCGGGCCGCGTCCTGACGCTTCACCTCGTCGGCTACTCGCCCACCGAAGCGCACCACCTCTGGAACGGAAGCCGCGTCGTCTCGGACTATTTTGAGGCGGACCCGTCACGCGTCAAGGACAAGACGGTGCTGGAGCTCGGCGCGGGTGCTGGCCTGCCGAGTTTGACGGCGGGTATCTTGGGCGCGAAGCGCGTTGTCGTGTCGGATTTCCCGGACGCGGATATCGTCATGACGATGCAGAAGAATGTGGACGAGGCGGGGGATCTGGAGGGGGTTGTGGTGCCCAAGGGGTATGTCTGGGGCGCGGACGTAAAGCCTTTGTTGGCGGAGATTGCTTCTTCGGCCGAGGGGGAAGAGAAGGAGAAGAAGTTTGACGTGCTGGTGTTGGCGGATCTGCTGTTCCGGCACTCTGAGCACGGGAAGCTTGCCGACACGATCTGGGAGGCGCTGGCGAAGAAGGAAGGGAGCGTGGCGTATGTGTTCTTCACGTCGTACCGGCCGTGGCTGAGGCACAAGGATCTGGCCTTTTTCGATGTCGTGAGGGAGAGGGGGTTACTTGTCGAGCAAGTGTTTGAGAAGAAGATGGAGAAGCCGCTGTTTGATGGGGACCCGGGTGATTTGGAGATTCAGAAGACGGTGAGCGGGTTTGAGGTGCGGTGGCCGAAGGAGCTGCTGGAGGAGGGTAAGGCATGAGGGGTGTTGAACATGTTGGAAATGTTGAATGAGGGACGAGAACTGTTTGATGGATTGCGGTTTGGGATCTCTGAGCCATGGGCAAGTGGTTTTCTACGAGAAATGAGCATGAAGGAAGAGAATTGGTGGGCATATCTGGACTGGGATAAACAAAAGGAATGGGGTACAAATGAAAAGGACACCAAAGATATTCTCCATTAGAGATGAGATAAAGAAGACATTCAAATGAAGCATTCAAAGAAAGAAAAAAGGAAAAAAAAAAAAAGAAAGGAATGGAGGGGGAAGACTGACCTTATAATCCACGCCCCTGCCCAGATTCGAACAGCGCGCCCCTCAGGCCAGCACGGCTTCATTGGAGTATTTATTTTAGCTTCTCTGCGTCAGAGTTCAAACCACGCTGTCAATCCCGGTCAATCCGGATGGGTGCTGGTGATAGGAACGAAGTTGAGGAGATATGAGTAGCCTCCTTCGAGGAAAGACGGGAAGGAGGCAATTCGTAGGTGGGAAGGTACGGGTCGGGCTGCAAGACTTTGCACAGGGAAAGCATCTGCCACCTGCCTCCTTCCCACTTTCCTCGTAGACGGCAGCTAAAAGGGGACCCTGACGAGCATGGTCTATGAGTTACTTTTACTATTGCGGAGATTTTGATATCATTGCGCTGAAATCGACGCTATGAAAGGATTAAGTCTGGAAAGGGGGTTCTCCCACGTCCAGCGTCCCTGAGCTGGCCATCTCTACCTTTGAGACTATGAGGCAACCAAACAACTTCGCGAAACTTCGAATCTTATATGATTTAAGTTGATTTAAGCTGATCCATTCATGTAAATTGTTCTTGCTAGCTTCGGCGGTCAAGATCTGGCATCGAGATGTTTACCTGCGCCGCTCTCTTGCCAGAGGCGTAGCATTAATATTCGATCCATCTATTGCCGATTGCCTTTACTTTTGGCTTGATAGTAGCAGATGTGACGAAGCGCTTGTCTAAGACAGACCAGTCTCACATCCAATCCATATGGTTCGGTTCGACAAGACAGCTAGTCTTATAACAGCGCCAAGATCAACAGAAGTTGCCGCTCAAATCTGACAGACACAGTCAGGCCACTCTCTACCCATTAGTTTCAGTAATTCTCGACCTCCAAATCCCTAATGACTGGCAAATCAAATAAGGTACTAGTAGCGAGACCGAAGACCTAGACTGCCAGCCAGTTAAGAAGAGGCTACGAAGGGACACTTGACGAGCCAAAATCAGAATATGCACATCGACATGAGCTCAGACGACGACAGCCAAGCTTTCGTTCGAACTGTGAATACTGTTCTCCGAGTTTGAGAGAGTCATTGAGAACATTTGATGGACAAATCTAAATCCTGTAGACTCCCTGTTCTGTGTCAGCACTCACCTAAGTTACTTTTCCTCTTGGATTTAAACGCCAAAGAGTACCACTACCGAGCGTCTGCCCAATAATCTCTCAGATGACAAGGAATACCGCTCATCGCAACTGAGCCGGAGCTGGCCGCTGACTTCAACACCAACACGAATCCTCCGTCATGCTTCGCCTCAAGAGGGAGGTCCATCCTATGGGTCCTGGCAGCGAATCCCGAGACGTGGTATGGGGCTCCAAATAGCCTTGCAGCTTGTCGTTGTCAGTTTGGGAGGACTCCGATGTAATTTACAGTAGCCAGACGCTGTAGACATCGTTAAACCCCAGGCAACAGTCAATATATCCCGGGCCTTTTGGGAGGATTTAACAGGGACGGGGCTACTCGTCCTGTGTTTTCCCTTCTAGACCTGGACGTATTAGCTCTGAATATGTAGGCGAGGCTGAGGGGAAACACCCAAGGCCTAGGATTTTGATACGGAACACGATCCTGATGATTCTATAGTACATAGTATAAAGCATGAGGAATGGTCTCGGTTGCCTCTGACCTTTTCTTCGCATCTACAAAGGATGCGAATGACAGACCCTTGGGCCTTGGCATACGATGACGGTCTGGATTTGAAATGGATTCCGAGAGAAGCCTCTTAGTTTTACATCCGCTGTTAGAATCATGGAAGGGTGCCTGATAATATCTCGTGGTTCATCTTCACGGGTAAGATAATAGGGTCGAAAGGTCACTACGGCGCTAATATTTCGACGATGAGTGACAGGGTTCATGTCAGACTGCCCATTGATCCAACCAATTATCAAGGTAGCTCAAGGACTCGCTAACCTCATGAATTATGAAGACTGCAGAGCCTACGGATACCCGCCATCACTACTATAATCGTAGTCACAGTTATCCCTCCACGGAACAAGCACGAATTCAGGCTATACCGTGAGCGTTGATAACGTGTCATACATCGACAAACCACCGCTGCAGAGCAATCTAAGCACCGGCCTTGGCGTTGGAGAAAGCCATGTGACGACGGAACGCCCGCCGATTATCGGGATCTCGAACAGTCATGATGGAGGGGTCCATCCAGCGCGCAAAGCTTCGCTGATGGGACCGGTCGTGAGGGTTGCGTCTCCCGGCACTTACGGGCAGGTCGGGTGTGTTTAAACATTTCGGGAGTCCAAGCGAACGGGTCAGCCAAGACGAACCATGGTCTCAGGGAGCCCCGAGCTTGAACCTTTGATCACTGCGCTCTACCATTTGGACAGCTCAATGTTTACATCCGTAATTGTTGCGAGAGATGTTTAATGGGACTTCTGGAGTTTTGCTCGCTCTAAGCTTTTTTCGAGCGAGCCTATTCAGACGTCGGCCTTTGTTCCGCGTCCGCGAGTATGTGGTCCGCTGTCTCACGCGTCGAATCCCAATATCGATTTGGTTAGCCATGTAGCTTCCCGGATCAGAACGGGAAGACCTTGAGATAGGCTGTGGGTGGCAGGGGAGTGCTTATACAAGAGTCTAGCAGAGTTCTTGATGGAAAACCTTGATCCGCCGGCAAGTTGGATAGCAGCTTCGGGCGCGATAGAGTCCCAAGGAGGCCAAAGGGGGAGCTCCCGGCCGGAGTGGACACGAATTCGGAATGGAGGGGACGCAAGAAGAAGATGGAACTTAGCTGGTTTTGACACATTGGCGCCGAGGTTTTCCTCCCCCGCCGGACGTTGAGGAACCTTTGGTTGGGGGTCGTGGATGCCGGGGGATTACAGAGCGACGTGGGGTGGGCGAAGAGAAGTAAGGCAGGGGATGTCGAGCAGGAGAGTTTCGAGTACATACGGATACAGGGTTACTGTGCGTTTTACTCTATACAGATAGCCTATAGAGGTAGCAGGTATTAGCATGAAGCACAGGTTGAAGACAAAGTCTTTGTCCGCCGATCTGGAGATGGAGGGCGATGAGATCGTCCTGGTCGAAGCTGCTGTTGTGCAAAACTGAGGAGCGATGGGAAACATTGAAATGGGGAAGGACAATCCGGCGACTGTGGGGCGGCTGTCGAGAGCATGGAGGCAGGAGCATGGGGCATAGAGAGCACAGACCTTGTCACCAGCGCTTACCCCACACTTTGCACCTTCCAGGGCAGGTTGAACGGGGAAGGCAGGCACCTCAGACTCAGAGCAGGTGCGTTCGCTGCACTTGCCCGCTGCAACTTCTTCCATGAATTGCCATGAATTGGTATTACTAAGGCAAGAAAGTTAGGCGACTTTGAAGTGCAAGCTGCCTGAGGTGACTCCTGTATACTCTGTACTCCTTCCTGCCTATATGTCGTGCCTGCTTCTCCTCCGCATTGAGGTGGATGCCCCCCCCAATTGGCATTGGAGCTTGGTTCCCATCCCGAGAACTTGCCCGTTCCCACCTCCCACACCTCCCACACCACCCTCTTCCCTCTCCCGCCATTTCACCACACCTCACGCACAACAAAACTGGAACCATCCACCGGCTTCCCTCTGCCTACTGCGAGCTGCAGCCATCGGGAAATTTGTCAACTGCAAGGTAGCTTGGAGATGGGATGTCACGTTCATGGAAGGGTCTCCAATACGAATGGGTCCCCGAAAATTCGACGCAATTTCCCGCCAGCCAGAAGGCCCCCTTCGAAATCGAGAGGAAGAGACCTGGACGAAGAAAAAAGAAGAGAGGGGCCTGAGCCTGATCAAGTGAGCCAGCGGAGTATCGGCCGGATGCTTGCCGGGCGTACCTCAGAAAAGAGAAACAATATTTCATGTAAACGACGAGGAGCATGAGGAAACTGGCGGATATACCCTTCCACTGCCCCAAGGCCAGAATGGTCTGACAGGGTTCAGCATGATGTATCGACTCAGCACACACTAATGGACGGAAGCATAGCCAGACATGCCTGCCACAGATATGGCTTGTCGTTCTTGGGGTAATTATCAGAGGCAATGTATCTTTTCCCTGTTCTGTTCTTGTCTCCCCCTTCTAACCTTTGATACTTTTGCGTTGCAGTTGCACCGAGACACCCGACTGCGACTTTTGTGCCCGCTTCTCTCGTCGCTCGCTACCTAGTCTCAACGGGCAGATGAACCTACGTGGTACGGTGTTAGGCCACCAAGTCACACGCCATGTAACGGTCCTGTGGCTGATTTGTTATTATATGAACTTATTTTGCCTCTACAGTTTTTGGAGCTTGTTCGGGAGATTTTGCGTTTCCCTAACCCCCTCTCTCCTCCGGCAAGCTCCCGTCCTTTGCAGTGCCCGTCTTAGACTCTCCGCATTTGGAGACATGGAGCTGGGTAGCTTTTTGCTGGGAGGGAGGTGAAGTAGCTGCCCAAACCCCAAGGTCCATCGTGCAGGGATGGTGGCCGTTGCTCTGGAGTCCCAGCTTCAGATTCAGATTCCTCCCAAGCTCATGACACACAGCAACTGGGGGTGGGGGGTTGGGTTGAGCTAGGCCACACAGGAACGCACCGGCCCAGAAGCCGCAAACCGAGCTTTGCCTCGTCTCGCCTCGCCCGATTCTACAACGGCAGGAATGTGAAGCTGATCAGGGCCGAGAGCGCCGGGGGTTTCGAAATGGACAAGATCGATCATCTCTTCTCATTACCCTGGCACTCCTGGCACGCCGCACGCCTGACTTCTGCACGTAGACTACGGAAACTTGGCCTTGGGCAGACGGCATCGTGTGGTTTCTCCAAAAAAGAGGACGAATGAGTGGTTCATTGGCAATGTGGCCGTCTCATCTAGGGCTCCCTGTCACGGTTGACCGCTATTGCGAAGCTGCCATTGGCGCGTCTTGAGACCAGCAGTGTCCCCGGTGTGTATTCCGACGCCTAATGGAGAAGTACCCGTGATCCCCTCCCGGCGTCAGTGCAGCAAAAGACAGCTTGCACGGACACGTTGACGCAGAGCCTAAGGAAAAGCATGGCTT